GACCCCCTTGATCTTCTTGACACATACAAATCTCTCATGCAACTCCACAATGCGCCTGATGAGATTATGTGTAGAGCCTTCCCTGCCACCCTTAAAGGATCCGCACGACAATGGTTTGTAAAACTCAAGTCTTCTTCCATCCATTCCTATATTCGGATAAAAGTCTTAGGAGCCACCTCACTAATTTTAAAGAGGAGGTTCTCCAAATTGAGGAGTTAGATGACATGGCTACCTTTATTGTGGGACTACGCTCCTTGAGCTTCATGTTCTCTGTCCTAAAGAAGCTGCCCTCCAGTATGCTCGAACTGCTATCAAGGGCATAGAAGTATATGAATGTCGAAGACATCACCAAAGCCCGACGATGTGAGTCCTCCCGTAGGGTTGAGAAAAGAAATGATACCCGCCAAAACAGGAGATAAGCAGAGAACAATAGTAATAGGATAGAGAGAATCTCAATCAAAGATCACCTTAATCTCCCACCTCTGAGAGAGTGACAAGTCTTTACGCTGCTCAATACTTCAGTTGAGCATATCCTGTTCCAAAATACAGGATGAACCTACTCTACGGTAGCTAGGAAAGATGAAGTTTACCCCGAACAGAAGAAATCTAAAAAAATACTGTCGTTTCCATCGCGACCATGGTCACGACATTGATGACTGCTATAAGCTCAAGAGGCAAATCGAGGAGCTCATACAACATGGCCAGTTGAGGTAGTACATTGTTGGTAGAGTACAAGCCCAGCCACCTAGCCGTGACCAGGATGACAGAGAATGCCAACAACCCCTCAGAGAAATCTAGATGATCTTTAAAGGGCTAGGAGGAGGAGGCAACTCCAACTTTGCCAGGAAAACCCATGTCAAGAAAGCTAGACAGGTAGAGTCGAACGACTCTCGATTAACAAAGACACCCCGACACAGGGAAGAAGTGGTCATCACCTTCTCAGACAAGAACCTTGAGGGGATCCAATTCCCTCATGATGACCCTCTAATCTTAAACATGATGGTAGCCAACTATCAAGTTAAGAGAATTCTGGTGGACAGTGACAACTCTGCCGACATCCTGTTCGCACCAGTCTATGACAGTCTTCATCTAGGCAGGGAAAGACTGCAACCCATTAAAATGCCCCTCATCAGATTTTTGGGTGAGAGGGCTTATCCTTTGGGTTCCATCACCTTGCCAGTCACAGTAGGTACAGCACAAAGAAGCTCCACCATCATGGTAAACTTTATAGTGCTAGACTACCCCTCTGCCTACAATATCAGACTTGGATGCCCTGCACTCAATACCTTAAGGGCAGTGTTGTCCACTTATCGCCTTGTTCTTTGTTTCCCAACCCTCTATGGGATCGGAGAAGTTAGAGGAGACCAAATCTCTGGTAGAGAATTCTATGTGGCCTCTATGAGGATTAAGAAACCTCAAGAGGCCCTCTAGGTGGAAGTGCTTGGTATGACAGCACACTGAAAATGGGAAAACTTTGGCCCACTTGTGGGACGTCGAACACCTGAAGAGCTATTATCAATAGCGGGTACAAACTGATGGTTCTCATTTTATTTGTCCTTTATTATTTCAATTGATTTATTTGTTATTTTATGAAATAAAATATTGCCAAGATTATTATTTACAGAACTGTCTTGCTTTCATTTTATAAGGTTGTAAACAGCTTACAAAAGTCAGAACATAACCTAACAACAAGGTACACAAAAAGATGAAATTTGTCACCATCTGCCCTTGATGCCTCATATGGGACGAAGCTAGAGAAATCAATACTAGGGAAAGCTGTTAAGGTCCTCATTACCATCGATAAAGGCATTTGCAATGGCACTCTCAACAGCCTCACTCCTCATCTCCTTCTCTATGCAATGAGCCTTCGCCCCAGTAGCTTTCTCATGAGCTACTCGTAGGTCAACCTCTACCACGATAGCCCTCTCCCGAGTTATACGTAGTTCAGTCTCAACTACTATAACCCTCTCAGGGAACACTTGTAGCTATGAATCTGCTCTTGCGCAAACAGTCTCCTTATCAGTCTCTAGCTTAAAGCTCTCTCATGAGTCACCAAAAAACTCGACCTAATCCTACCTCTACTCCTAAGCAGTCTATGTCTCTAGATTCGCGCTCTCACGCAAGTCGCCAACTCCTACAGTGGTATAAGGGCTAGCTTTGGTACACATGGGAGCCACGATGTGGGAAGGAGTGGTGGCACCACCGAATCCACACTAAGGAAGCAACTTGGCCATCGGACGTCGGCTAAAAAGCAATGGGGGTATCAAACATTGCCCTCTTTGAAGGAGGGAAAGACGTCACCCTAAAAGCTTAGAGAGCCTCTAGCATCCCTCTATCAACAGGGTGTCTGTAATTAGAGATAAAGTAAATATAAAGAACCAGCATCAAGAAAATGTTAAGGAGAAAGCAGGATTGAATACCTAGCCAAAATTCATCATAGTCTCCCTCCCTAGCAAAACCCAAAACACCAACCCGCCGCCCATGAATGCCTAACAGCTGTCTGTGAGAGCGCAACTTCCTACCGTCGTCAGTTTCACTAATTTGTGTTTAAAACTCAAATTCTGTGAGAAATAAGCATTTTTTGGAGAAATTTGGTGCCCAAACTGCCAAAGGCGATTGTATGTTGTAGATCCCAAAAAAATACCCAAATTCAACAAAACATTTGCTTCAAACGGACAATCGAGCTCAAATTATGGTCATTCAAAGTTTTACCATTTTTACATGGTTTTCTGATACTCTACCGATGCCCTAGCTCGCATTCCATTCTCCTGGCTTTGCCCAGGGGTCACCCAGACCACATAGCATCCCCTGGCGTCACCTAAGCCTCCATGGTGTTGCCAAGACCAGCCTTTTGTGTCAACTAGCATTGCCTTCTCCTCCAAGGCGTTGTTTCCTACTCTAAGGTAGTGCCCAGCCAGCACCAATGCTAGCACCCAGGGCCCAGAGCTAGCGCCTATAGCCAACACCCAGTTCCAGCACCTAGAGCCAACGCCTAGTTCCAATGCCCAACGTCAACGTCTAGCGCCTGTAAGGCGTCACCCAGCCAACACCCAGCACTTGTTTGCATCGCTGCTTGACTTATTCTGTCGTTCCTAATTTTTAACCATGATTTCGGTAATGTCTATGTGGTTTATATAGTTAGGTGCATGTCACTCTCCCTCAGATATCATGCAAGAAATGGGAAGACATATGTGTGAATGAAATATGTGTGTGTGCGTGTGCAAAAGTGCTCCCCAAGCGTAGATAGACTTTCGAGTGTCATTTTTTACTTGGAATTGAGTATTCCAAGGTCATCTGCTCAAGAAAGGAAGGTGAATTATGTTGAAAGTGATTTTGAAAAATGAAAAGTGGAAAATCTTTTGAGTTTGAGTTTTGGTGAGTGAAGATTGGATATAGAAATGTAATGGAAAGAAGGTTGGCTAATCCAAAGAGGTCATTCCAATGGGAATATCAAATCAACTCAAGACATTTTTCCAATGGTGCAAATGTGTTTGATTGATTCGTAAAAAGCGAGGGACTAAAATGGAGATGAAGCCTCAAGTATAACCCGCAACAAGTCTATGGTGTATCAAAAGCTCACAACCATGTCCACACTCAACCTAGTCAAACCAAATCACCTTACACTACGAGGAAGAATGAAAAAGAGTTGATTTGGCATACCCAATAGGAATTCTCCCTTGGATTAGGCAACAAAAAGCCTAGCTACTAATGTTAAATGCAAAGACATACAATGTGTAAGGAAACATGGTATTGAAATGGAGATTAAAACTTGTGTTATTGTAAAGAAAAGTGAAACTACAAAAATGAGTGCATTTAATACCCAACTTAAAAGCTTGAAGTGAAAACTTGAATATAACAATGGTAGATTCCAAGATACTTAACTAAACTTGCAATACACTTGAAATAAATGACATTAAGTGCAATAAATGAAGCTTACAAGAGTCATAAAGCAGATTACAAGTGCAATGGATAAAGGAAATGCAAAAATCTAACTTCTCTCTCTAAAACTATGTCTTCCTCTTTGAGTTTCTCTCTCTACAATGCTGAACAATCCTATAAAAATGTCAAGTTTTCTCTTTATTTTCGTCCATGGAGGTCTTCTAGCATGTGTGTGTGGCTTTCCATCAATGGGGGGTAGAGTTGATGCATTGGACAGGGTAGGACAAGCCTAGCCTATAACTCCCAGGCTTACACCTTCTCTCTCTTTCTCATTAATGCATTGGCCTCCAAAGTCCAACTTGAAGTGTAGGGAGGCATGTATATGTGTAAGAGCTATTAGGGGATAAGTGGGAGAATTATAGGTGGGAACCCCAAGTGGCAAAGCTTGAGTTGCAGGTTGTCTAACATTTCTGGGCAAAACCTTCTAAAATGTTGATGCAAACCTTCCGTAAGGTTTTGGCAGGGCAAGTGGAAAAAGTTTTCTAGTGAGCCTAACCTTTTGGAAGGCTGATGCAAACCTTCCAAAAGGTTTATTCTAGTAAGGCAAAGCTTCCGAAAGGTTTTGGCAGGGGCTGAGGCAGTTCAAAGTGCAAACATTTTGGAAGGTTTTCAGCAGAATTGTATTTTCTTGGTTTCTTCACCTTCCAAACCACCCTTTAAGCCACCCCCTTATCTCCATTGTCTTTAAGCACTATGATGGGGCCTTAACCCAATCTATTTATAACTCTTTACCTACATTCACACAAAACTTCATTACAAGGTAGATTAAATGCATTTCTCCCCAAATTCACAACAAAAGCAAGTATAAAAGGGTATAACAACATACAATATGCAATATTTTGTGCTAATCAGTCGCCCAGCCTAGCACCTGCACCTGCAAGGCATCGCCCAGGCCATATTGGCTTAGCCGCTTTCATTGCCCAGGCTAGGGAGTCGCCTAGATGCCCTTCGACTACTCTCTTACCCCACAGACGCCCAAGGCGTCTCCTGTTACTTGTTTAGCATCGCCATCTAGCTCTATCTCGTCATCTTCCACACATCTGGCATCGCTAACCAATCACTTCCCGTCATCACCTAGATCACCTAGCCTCCCTCTAGCATTGCATGACCAAAGACCAACATTGCCCAGCATGCTGGCATTGCCCAACAGCTGGTTCCTCATGAGGATGTCACATGCTGCCACTATAGCACTCCTATGGCTGCCAAAAGCGTCGCCCAGGGCGCTGGTGCCACCTAGAGTCACGTTTGCATTGCCCAGCACCTGGGTCGACATGTCGCCTACTACCAAGGGCACTCTAGCGTCGCCCTCCACTCCAACGACGTCAACTAGCTTGCTGAGCTTCTCTGGTGTCACCTACCGCTGTTAGGTCATCCCTTTCCAAAGTTGTTCCAGTCTCGCTCACTACAATGGTGTCGCCATGGGCACTGGTGCCTCCATGCCTCGCCTTTGAGAAGCTCATACGGTTATCCATGGAATCTCTCATGGATCCACCCAGGATGGATGGTCTCTTCGACCTTTTCCCTCTCGTCTCCATCTCTCTTTTTCTCAATATCCCTTGATGGTTTGTGTGGTGAAAAAAGAAAGAGTCTTGTAAAGCCCTAAAAGTAGTGACAAGAATTAAAAAAATGGGGTTTCAAATTCAACAGAGGTCCAACATAGAGGACGATCCTCAATGCAATGGGTACCCTACAATGGTTATATTTAATGAGGAAAGAATTTTTGTAGGCATAAATGGAAAGCTAAAGACTACCATGGGAAACAAGGAACCCTTATCTATCCAGAGGCTATCTAATGCCTCAACGCCCTTTTTTGTTACAGTCAAGGCTTAGGGCATTGGGGGAAAATGATGAGCCCAGATCTAACTAGGTCAGGCCAATTAATTAAGGGAGCTCAAATTAGTTACAAGGCAGGTTAAGCCCAGTTCATGGATCTGGCCTAATCCAAAGTTCAAGGAGTCCAGGAAGATTAGCACACGTGAGCAGTAATTACCGGGATAGCCACTCTCCAACATCAAGACTATCTCTGATTGTACCAATCATCAGCTGTAGCTATCTACTCCGAAGGACTAGTCACATATCCCTTCACGTCACCACCTCAACCAAGACTATGTGCCTATAAATTGTAAACCCTCTCCATGTGAGAGGGGCATCTCTCTACACACCTTACACAGTTATTTCCCTCATAACTATCAAGATCATACATTTGCTCTATCTCTCTCTCTCTCACACACACACCTACTACTTCATCAATAAAGACCACCGACTACCATTGTCATCTTCAAAGTGGAGTAGGTCACCCTGACCGAACCACTATACATTTGTGTGTTGCTTGTGTTGATCCAATACTTGTTTCATTCATTAATTGTTGTATTGATTGCTTCATTAATTATTCTGAATCATACACTCGACTGTTGATTATGCATAAGCCTACTTTGTGCATCATCAATGAGCAACAATTAACTAGATCAACAAATTAATTGCAACTTACATTCCTCTTAAATATTTTGATAAACATATCACATTGAAATGTTTTTTTAGTATTATATTGAAAAAAGATTTGTGATGATAGATCTTCCATTGATTCATTTAAAGCATTTGATTGTCAAAATAATAAAGTGATAAAGATTATATGTGTGACATAATTATTGGTTAAAAATAGAGGGTATATAAAAATTTTAGACATAATTAGACTTGTAAGAGAAGAAAGAAATCTCTTACCTTCTGTTGAAGATTAGGATTTGACTGAAAAAAAATAAACGAAGATTGCACTATTCTTTCTGCAAAAGCAAGCGAACTATCAGAGACTTGGGGGTTAGCTAAAGGCACTCTGATGCTTAAATCAGTAAAGGCTCTAAAAGTAAGTAAACGAATTGCAGGGAAAGAAGTGCATACCTTTGACTCAACCATTACTCAGTATTTATAGTGTTACATGACATCCTTTCTACTAGGGGTTTTGTCATAGACTATACTAGGTAGCACTCCTAATCTTTAGGCTGACTATTCTTGATTGTTGTTGGAATCTCTCCCAACTTCCTCATCTATTTCTTAGGGCACGTTGATAATGTTCACCTATAATTTAGTTAAATTTCTTATTAGTTTATCACCACCTTTGATTTCTTGGGATAGCCTAGCTATCCTATTCTCTATGGATGTCTATTTTGTGGCATACGCTAGCTAACATTCTCTAACTTTTCATCATGTCTGCATATAATGTGTCGCTTGGTCTCTCACAAAAATACATTGTGCACATCTTTTCTTTATGTAGAACATCTTTCTTCATTTAATGCAAATGTCCATTCACCTGCAGGCACAGTTTCCCTTGGAGCTTTTCCTCACTTTTTAAAGAGGTCGTTTCCTTTTTGCCCACTTCCTCCATTGAAGCTTCCCAAAGTTTTTCCTTTACAACTTTCTTTGCAACTTTTCAACTGTTGTACTTTCAATGGCCCACCTTGTAAAATAGGACATTCTCACCTTCAAGGCTTCCTATGTTTTCCCAGTCGATGTTGATGTCAGGAGGCCCTAGGCCAATGAAGCCCTCATTTGTTCCAGGGATTCTATCCTTATGAACAGGATCTCCATCACCGAACGTGGAGTTCATTTCCCCCTATCCTCTTCTTCTCAAAGTCCTTTCGACACTCAAACTTTGTCCTCTCCAATGTTGTGCTAACTTTTTTTTGGATAGTAATGTGGGTTGTAGCATTGAATAACCTCCTTAGCACCACCCTAGGTCTTTGGGAGATCTACTGTTGCTACATCATGAAGCCTACTGGCAATGAAAACTGCTACCTTAAAGTCTGGAATAAGACTCGCTACCTCATCACTCATCTCCCTGATTCAAATAAGAACCAGAAGAAGGACATCATGTTTGTTTCTGGGAATTGGGAGCACAAGGTTGGGGAAGAGCCTAACTATCGATGCCCTTATGAGAGTGGTGCTCTAGGTATTTCCTCTAAACGTTTGAACTCTATCATTTTTTATTAGGGGTGTGATAAAAAATGTCTAATTTTTCCTCTCCCTTCCTTTTTTATTTTTTATTTTTTATATAAATAGGGGAAAATGTGAAGGGGATGATTTCAAAAAGGTCCGTCAACATGGAGAATAGTAAGAAGGTGTGGGCTTTCAACGAGGCTCTCTTCTGCCAAGCTGCACACTAACTACTTGGTTATAACCCCATATACCACTCTTGCATAGTTGTTCCAAATAGGCTTAATGCTCACCTGGCAGAGAACAGAGAAGACTCAAGTCCTTCAGAGCTTACAATCCATGGTCTTGTCATAAATCCGCAATCTCTGTGCGAGCTACGCCAATGAAAAACTTCATTGGCCTTATCTTTAACTCTTCAGATGCGTCCCCAAGTGTTATCCCATCTATTCCTGATTCTCAAAATTCCCCTACTTCTCATAATTTCATCCCCCATGATTCTACTCAAAAAGTAAGGCTGAGGCCGAGCAGATCTCAATACTAGATGATGAGCCGATTAATGCTCCCAACGCCGACCAGTCCAAAGGGGTCGAGACCCTAGGCAATGGTGTCCCTACATATATTCCCTTCACACTTACCATCACTTATATCAAGGCCTATCAAGCAAGTGAATCTTCTCCTGAGTCAACTAGGCAACGAAAACATATTGCTAAAAAGAGGAAAGTCATGGAGATTAGTGAATCTGATCAAGCTGAGGAGATGGTCTCCCCTTTCCACCCTCCTAAAGGCCAAAGGAAGATAGATCACTGTGAAAGATTCTATGGTCACAGATGTGATCCTTACTCCGAATTTAGCTATAACAAAAGGATGAGCGATTACTAGATCTCCCAAAGTCCCCTTAAATAGATAGTACTTGCAACTTTCCTTTTCCTTTTTGCAATTTGATGTTATAAAAAATTAACTAAATGTTTTTTTTACAGGGTCATCAAAGAGTTCACGAGATCTGTGCTAGAATTGCTCAAAAGGACAAGGCCATGAAGAATGTTATCTATGACTGCATAGTGGCCTTGGATAATAATGAGAAGCTATATGTTGAGGTTTCCAAGATTTTTGAGGAAGTGATAGTCCTCCAGGCTTAGATGATTGAGCTAAAGGAAGAGAGAGATCGTCTGAAGTCATCAAATGATGAGTTGAAGTCTTTAGAGGTAGAGGCTTCTCGAGAGCTCTCCAAGACCCAAGAAGAACACACTGCCCTCCTTGAAGAATTTGAAAGCTTTAAAGCCAATTCCAAGGCTAAAGAGGATGAAGACTATGAGGATAGGATGGAGAAGGTCGAGAAAGAGCTAGCCAATCAAGCGGAATAGATTAAGAAAGTCAACTTCAAGAATGGTTGGGATGAGGCATTGCGTGCCGATGACATTCTGTTATCTTTTGCGCTCTTTTCTTGTCATACTGTTGGTGCTTCGAGTTCTGTTGTTCCAGATCCTGTTATTCCCTAAGAACTATAGTTTCAATTAGTTTTTCTTTTTATTTTGTACAAACATGTACTCTTGAATCTTTTGATCAATATAACGAATCTTTTTTGTGATCCTTGGTTGGCTTTTATATTTGCCTAAAATTATGCCTCCCTTCTCCAATCAAAAAGGCTCAGCCTTAATAAAGGGTTTGGGCCCTTCATACTTAGAAATATTTATGCCCCTTTCCACTATTAGAGGGGCTCGACCACAATGAAGGGTTAGGGTCTTTAATACTTAAAAAATTTTATAGCTGCTTCCTCTATTATAGAGCTCGGCCTTAATAAAGGGGTAGAGTCTCGTTTCTCAATTTTTACACTGCAATCTTCACACCAACCCGCTGATCTAATCTGTCTCAATACTTTGGCCTGTTTGACTTACAATATTATACCTAGGCTTGGGCCTAAGTTTGATCGGGTGTGCACGTGAGTTAAGTGCCTACCTCTATCAGGATTTTTGTCCTCCCTGCCTTGGCAGTAGGTTGAATTGTACCCAGGATTTTACCTGTCTTGGCTATTCTTAGGAATTCATTTCTTTGCCTTGGCAAAGAATCATAATAAAAGATTCACAAAGGTACTTTTCAATAAAAATATTTATTTGATTGAGTAACTAATAAAATTTTGAAAGAAACCTAGATGAATGATCTTGAAGGTACTTCTAAGAGAAGTCAAGGAGAGTTGAGTGGAAAGTCCTTAGCAGGAATCGTATCTGGGCAGTTTCTTAGGCTCGATTCAGGATCACTAATTACTAGAAATCAAATTCCTTACTCAAAATAGGTAGAGTTCTTTAAAGGAAATGAGATTCTTATTCTTAACCTAAGGATACCGAAAGATACTAAAAATAAAGAAGAAGCGAGTGAAGTATAAGTAACAAGTCGGGTAGCAAGAAAGGGCTAGTTTCAATCAAGCACTAGCCCAAGGCTAACGTAGTGAACCATGGAACTAGCTCTTCTCCTCAACCTTTTCAATTGAAGCTAGCCATATATCACACTTTTTCTATGCTTTCTTTACTATAAAGGCTTGAGAGACATCAACAACTTGACCCTACCTACCAACAAACTTTAGTATGACTGACTCTCTAGTATCGTCAACCACTTCGAAGTCAATTCCTATTTTTTTGGAGGCACTCCAACTTGTTGACCAAAGGTATTTCAATCTATTTTAACTCTTGAAGGTAATTCATAAGTAATATTGTCGAAGGTTTATTATTTTTCAAGGTCATGAGATTGGGTTCCCTTTGATGATCTAAATTTTGTAAGACCCATTCCCCCAACTGATGTGACCCCATAAGGCCCTTCCCAATAGGTGTTGAGTTTTCCTTTTGCGAGTTCTCTAGTGGTGCAAACAATGTTCCTAAGGACCAGATCCCCGACTAGGAATCTTGTCGAGCAGACCTTTCTGCTATAGGCCATTTGTTGTTGGTAGGCTGCCATCCTAATTTCTGCCAAATCCTTTCTCTTCTTTGCAAATTCCAAGTCTTTGACGATGATTCCCTCATTTTTACCACTATCCTCCAATTTGGAAATAAGAGTGGGGAGGCCGACCTTTAGTGATATCATTGTTTCCATCCCATAAAGGGTTGTTTTGTTTGATAGTTCTGCTTGCCCGTTACTATGTGGGTATACAGGTGAGGTATAATGGTTTTGGATCCTATAATATTGGCAAAAGGCTTTAAATGGTCAATTGTTGAATTGGTTTTTTTTATTATAGACTAAGGCCCTAGGTATTTCAAACCTTGTAATAATGTTTCTCTATACAAATCTCTTTGTATCATGTCTCGTATATTTGCTAGAGGCTCGACTTCCACCCACTTCGTGATATAGTTAGTTCCTCTAAGAAGGTAATTCTTGTTTCTTGGTACTTTTAACCTAGGTCCAATGATGCCTAGCCCCATTGTGTGAAGGGTCATTGGCTCGTTAGTGGGCTCAAATCTTTGTGTCGGCTACCTTGGAATGGGGGGAAACTTTTGGCACTTCTCGAATTACCTTATATATTATCGTGCATCCTTCTTCATGTAGGACCACCAATACCCTTGGGATAATGCTAAGTGCACCAGGGATCTTCCTCCCATATATGCCTCACAATTTCCCATGTGGATTTGAAGAAGAAAACCTTGAAGTTTGGTCAGGTGCACACAGAATATGTATGGGCCTGTGAAAGATCGTCGATAAAGTTCATCTTTTGGTGATAACCAAAACCTAGATGCTTTTAAACTCAGCCTATTGGGCCTTTTTTTGTTTGGAGGAAGTTGCCCATTCTTAAGGAATTTGATGAGCGAGTCCATCTAGTTGGGGGTCAGTTTGTCTAACAACACCTCTTCGATTATTCGCAACTTGGTGCTCAATTTATCTTGGTGTTCCACCAAGATTGTCCTGATTGGATTTTTCCCTCATAGTAAATGCTTGGCTGCTAAGGCATCAATGTGTGCAATTACATCCCTTACAACCTAGTGGATTGCAACCTTTGGGATCTTTTCCAGCTTGGCAATAGCTAGCTTATGGTGCACCATCATTGGTTCATCTTTTGCAAGGTACTCCCCTGACTGTTGATTTACGACAAGCTGCAAATTGTAATAGATATTCAATTGCTTGACACCCATGTGTGTTGCGAGCCTTACTCTATCTGGTAGAGCCTTATATCCTACTTCATTGTTTGACATGCTAAAGTCTTGTCTTACTACCTCATCCAACACACCTCCTTCTGGGGATTCTAAAATTATGCCCACTTAGGCCCCTTTTTGGTTTGATGAGTTGTCCATGTACAACTTCCAATAATATTTAAGCTCCGGGTTTCTCCTTGGCTCTATTTCTACCCTCTGCTTTAGATTCCATGGCACTTGGAGTCTTCTAAATTTCATTGGCAAGTTCTATCATCTCTAGGGGCTCATTTTGCTACACATTCGGCCACCACTTGCCCTTTAATTGCAATTCATGGCTTGAAGGTAAAATCATACTCCCTGAGCTCTACCACTGTAAACCCCTATGCGTTATTTTAAATTATATTAGATTATTATGTATTGTGTTGATACACAATGAATTAAGGATAAGTAGACACGATTGTGAGATGGTGATTTAGGAGTCATGGAGGCTTCTGGATGATTTGACATTTTGGGGTAATCACCCCTAACAGTAATTAAGTAAAAACAATTGTATAGGGTTTTAGTTCAAAATAACATTAAAAAATGAATTCGGGAGGTCCATAAACCTTGAGATATATGATAANTTTGGCACTTCTCGAATTACCTTATATATTATCGTGCATCCTTCTTCATGTAGGACCACCAATACCCTTGGGATAATGCTAAGTGCACCAGGGATCTTCCTCCCATATATGCCTCACAATTTCCCATGTGGATTTGAAGAAGAAAACCTTGAAGTTTGGTCAGGTGCACACAGAATATGTATGGGCCTGTGAAAGATCGTCGATAAAGTTCATCTTTTGGTGATAACCAGAACCTAGATGCTTTTAAACTCAGCCTATTGGGCCTTTTTTTGTTTGGAGGAAGTTGCCCATTCTTAAGGAATTTGATGAGCGAGTCCATCTAGTTGGGGGTCAGTTTGTCTAACAACACCTCTTCGATTATTCGCAACTTGGTGCTCAATTTATCTTGGTGTTCCACCAAGATTGTCCTGATTGGATTTTTCCCTCATAGTAAATGCTTGGCTGCTAAGGCATCAATGTGTGCAATTATATCCCTTACAACCTAGTGGATTGCAACCTTTGGGATCTTTTCCAGCTTGGCAATAGCTAGCTTATGGTGCACCATCATTGGTTCATCTTTTGCAAGGTACTCCCCTGACTGTTGATTTACGACAAGCTGCAAATTGTAATAGATATTCAATTGCTTGACACCCATGTGTGTTGCGAGCCTTACTCTATCTGGTAGAGCCTTATATCCTACTTCATTGTTTGACATGCTAAAGTCTTGTCTTACTACCTCATCCAACACACCTCCTTCTAGGGATTCTAAAATTATGCCCACTTAGGCCCCTTTTTGGTTTGATGAGTTGTCCATGTACAACTTCCAATAATATTTAAGCTCCGGGTTTCTCCTTGGCTCTATTTCTACCCTCTGCTTTAGATTCCATGGCACTTGGAGACTTCTAAATTTCATTGGCAAGTTCTATCATCTCTAGGGGCTAATTTTGCTACACATTCGGCCACCACTTGCCCTTTAATTGCAATTCATGGCTTGAAGGTAAAATCATACTCCCTGAGCTCTACCACTGTAAACCCCTATGCGTTATTT